GATATAGGGAAATCCTTCGACATCTATGAGAGAAATACGGTCGACAAATTAGTCGCTAGAATGTTCTACGCATCAGGTTTATCGTTCAACTTTGCAAACTCTCCTTATTTTAAATAATATTCAAAGTTTCTAGCTGAAAATTTCATTTCCGGTTATATTCCCCCATCATATAATAGGTTGAGAACAACTCTTTTAGCTCAAGAAAAGACACACATTGATAGAAAGTTACAACCAATTAAAGATACATGGAAAAAGAAAGAGTTGTTGATTTGTTCGGATGGATGGTCCGACACTAAAAGACGACCTTTGATATGGCATCATCTAGTGGAGGTATCAATTTTAGGAATCGTAAAAGATGGAGAATATATTGCTAACTTGTTTATTGAAGCAATAGAAAATGTAGGTTCAAATAATATTGTTCAAGTTATTACGGATAATGCAAGTAATATGAAACTTGATGGTTCTATTGTGGAGCGAAAATTTCCTCATATATTTTGGACTCCTTGTGTTGTTCGTATCTAGCTTTGAAAAATATGTGCCAACCTTCGGAGAAATCACCTCACTTTACTAATTGCAAATGGATTTTAGAGTTACTTAGTGAAGTGAGTAATTTGAAGAACTTTGTTGTGAATCATGACTTGACACATGCACTTTTTCAAAAACATTCGAATTTGTGTTTATTGAAAGTTGGTGCCTCACACATTATTATGACCACCCAGATTCGCAAAGTGAAATCGTCTTTGGAGAAAATGGTCATGAATGGAAGAATTATAAGGGGGATTAGGTAATTGAAGCCAAAACTCGTGATATAAAATCTCTTATAATATGAATGATGAGATAGTATTGACTACTTCTTGTAATTTACAGAACCAATTGTTGATATGCTAAGAATTGCCGATATTGATGGTCCAAAATTACATCTCATAGTGAAGTGAGTAATTTGAAGAACTTTGTTGTGAATCATGACTTGACACATGCACTTTTTCAAAAACATTCGAATTTGTGTTTATTGAAAGTTGGTGAAACAAGATTTGCCTCACACATTATTATGACCACCCAGATTCGCAAAGTGAAATCGTCTTTGGAGAAAATGGTCATGAATGGAAGAATTATAAGGGGGATTAGGTAATTGAAGCCAAAACTCGTGATATAAAATCTCTTATAATATGAATGATGAGATAGTATTGACTACTACTTGTAATTTACAGAACCAATTGTTGATATGCTAAGAATTGCCGATATTGATGGTCCAAAATTACATCTCATATGATTGAGAAGGTCAAGAAAGTAATTTTTGAGCATGAGGGGAAATTATATATATAAAAAGCAAATAAACAGTTCTTCTCACTAAAATAAATACAATATCCATGTAAATATAAGGAATAAATGTCATTACTTTGATGCAATAGTTAAATATATTCTACATGAACTTGCTATTAATTCTTTATTCTAATATTTAGGCCTTTTAAGTTATTGCTATTAATTCTTTATTTTAATAATTAGTTATTTGTTTCAATTCTCTTGTGGTTTAGGAATTAGGAGTCCTGCTCCTTCCCCATATAGATTTATGAGTTTTTTTAGGTTACAACTATTTTTTTTTGGTTATAAAGCTTCAGCTTATATTTACAAACATTAAATCTCATTCAAATGTGTTTTAGCTGTCTTTTCATATATTTTAATATATAATATTATAAAGATAACTTAAATAATAGTTTGAGGGTAAATGTGAAAAGATGATTGTCTAAAGAAGAAATTTTTAATGAAAGGTAAAAAGTTTAATAAACATTTCATATATATATATATATATATCCTTGTTTTTTCTACATTATATTTAACTTATAAATTATAATGATGTTTTTTACTCCTTGTGTCCTCATTTTTATAGTATTTTTTCGAGATTCAAACTTCTAAGTTTTGAATTATATATATTGATAATCATATATATATATATATATATATATATATATATATCCTTGTTTTTTCTACATTATATTTAACTTATAAATTATAATGATGTTTTTTACTCCTTGTGTCCTCATTTTTATAGTATTTTTTCGAGATTCAAACTTCTAAGTTTTGAATTATATATATTGATAATCACGTAAAAGAAATACTTTAAGTTTTAATTATGTAATAATTAAAACTATTTAAAAGAATATGAAAAGATTCCAATCTGAAAATAAACAATTTAATAAAAGGGTTAATTATGTTCAATTAGTAAATTTATCCACTCTTTAGGCTAGGGGTGTGCTTTTGATTTTTCCGATTTGGTTTTGTATTATACATAAGGCTAATTTGTTTTTTGTTTTAAAAATTGGCTTTTTATATGGAATGTCAATGTAATCGTTAAACCTATTTTCTGTGGTTGACACTTGTAGTTCTAATTTCATTATGTATTTGGTCATTTTTAGTGGGGGGAGGGGGGGGGGGGGGATCCGGTCCCCTTGGTTGTATCAGAAATTGAGAATGAGATCTTTGATAATGGACAATTCACATCCTAGGACAAAGATGACAATCAAAGTTAAATTGAATGGTTAAATGAAGCCAATTCATGAAATCTGCACAATCGTATAGTCTAATATTATTATAGGTCTCAAGTATTTTCGTATATTTGAATTCATCTTACACACATGTGATGGGTGTATGTTACGGTCCTCTATAATGGATCTAGTTGTGGGATGCTGCTAGACAAAATCAGAGTTAATGTAGAGTGATGTTGGAGTCTGAAAAGAATTTTTCTTTTCTGTAATCTCTTGAGTTAAAGTACTCAAAAAATGGATAATTTTCTGCATATCATTTCACTGGATTCAAATAACACTAAATACAGCACTGGTGGATTATCCACCCATCTGAAAACAAGGAAATAACTTCCTACTTCAACTGAAATGAGAAAGTGGAGGAATAACCTCCTTGTGGCAACAACTGCTACATAGAAATAGGAAAAATAAATAACTTATAAGTTGAAGTAATCTACTCTTTATTTTCCTTAAATCTTCCATGTGTAAACCGTTGGTAGACTAAAGGGGTGCTAAAAATGTAGGTGTTATAGTGTTTCTAGTATCTTCGGTAGCCTATACCATAGTATGGTGCTTCCTCTGTGAACCAAGAGGTCTAGCCTATTTATTCTAGTGTTAAGTAAATTTTTTGAATCTAAATCATACAATGAACTAGGCCTTCTTAAACACAATGAACAAAAAATTCTTGTTTTCTTTTTTGCTTAATTACGTATCATTAATAATGTATAACAAAAAATATTATAGATGCTCTTCGCATAACTAAAGATTGATAACCCAAATGTAATACTCTTCCATTTTAATTTATATGGCACTCTTTCTATTTCATGATGTCCTAAAATGTTTGATACAATTCTTCATTAAGGGTAAGCTCGGAACTAAGTGTGAATACTCTATCTAATAGCTTACTTCTGATCTCGCTGTTCTTTGGGCATCACATTTGTTATGTCAAGATATGCAGTTTCAAAAAAATTGTTATGTCAAGATAGGATTCTCAAATTACTTTATAGTACAACTTTTAGAACTTTAAAGAATTCGAATTCGTTTCACTATTCCATTTTTAAATTTGAGATGATGTCATCTTTATTGCACTAACTTTCCTATCATTACTTATTTACCTTGTAAAAAGAGAAGTTTTCAAGCATTATTGCTTTTGCTCGGTAATTAAAAAAAAACATTATTGCTTTTGCTATCACTGATATGATGCAAAAGTCAAACTATTTTTAAATTCCATGTCTAGTCAAACATCATATAAAATAAAACTGAGCTCGGAACAAATTTTCCCCTATCATTACCGAAGACTTATTTCGAATTTTTTGAGTAGCAAGTCGTAGTTGAATAATGTTGAAATTGAAAGCATACTAAACATTATGCCTTCAACACGCCCCTTCACATGCGGACATGATTCTTTTCATGGCAAGCATGTGAAGTTCTTTTTGATACTTGGCAGCGGTGAGACTCGACTGGAAGACTCTAGCCAATCTGATAACATGTTGATTTGTGTGACGCCTAATCTATTAGCTTAAGCTAATAGAATATACTTTTATTTACTTAATATTACGTCTTCAACAAATAATAACGTAGAGAGGAGCCCCCAAGGCCTAGCTCAAGTGGCAAAAGGTGGAGGATTTGTGGCTTAGGTCGCAGGTTCATGCCCCACACCATGCAAAGCGAAGCCCAGTATTTAAGTGGAGAAGGGTAGAGGGGCGGGCCCATTATCCACCGAGTTTAGAAGGCTATGATTGGTCCAAAGGGCGGGTCACAGACGGATTTCTCGGTTATCAAAAAATAAAAATAACGTAGAGAGGAAAAACTTAAATTGATGGCTGGTAACGGGTAAGAATGCAGACTACACAACAAAGTAAGAAAAAACCTTGACAAGGTCAAATATAGTCTTATTTTGAGCATTAAGTTCCTTTGGTAGCCGCTATACTTTAAAATCGGAAGCGAAATTCAAAACATAAGTTTCACAAGAAAATCTGAGTTGCATGAATGTTATGTTTTGGTTGAATCTGGCTCTGGAAATTCTTCTGACATGTATGGCTAGGCATGTGAAATATGTAATATGTTGAGAACTATGTTCCTACTGTTAGGTTGATTGCCAATTGTAATATTTCAAGTCTGATTCTGGAACTGTAATGAGAATTCATTATGATGTTGTTGACACTGGGAATTCCAATATCCATGACGAAAGAGAATTCATGTGATATACTGAATGCAGCCTTGCTAGAGTTGCATTTTGATGGGTTTGTGTTTTGTTCTCTCTTAAAAACCTTATACTTATTATCATCACATCTACCATTAATACACCAATCTTTCGTCATGGATATTGGAATTTCTAGTGTCAGCAACATCATAATGAACATTTCTATCCTTTGTACTTATATGCATATATTTATAGTTTACTACTCATTCACTTACATAACTAAAAGGTGGCTTCATTCATTGTACATTATATCTAAAATAGAATATTCTTTTACATTCTAGGGGAGATGGGTCCAGATTTCAGCCCAAAAATGTCAGTTAAATCTCTAACACCACAGCAAATAGTTCGCATCCATCAGTTGTTTCGTCAAGCCAAATTTGATGATCCCAGTGGTGATGTAAGTTCCTCTTTGTGAAATTCTTGCCTCTTTTCCAATTTCCTTTAGCAACAGTAAACTATAAATGTTTGGTGATTCCCAGTTATCTCATGCATATGATTTCTAAGCCATATTGCAGATTTTAAGTCCTGCTGGAGAATATAATCTACGTCTTGGCATTATAAAGGAGCTTCACCCAGATATGGTTGCTACCTTTTCAGGAAGGTTGGATCATATATGAAGTTCTTCATCTACTTAGTTTGATGAATCCTTTGATTGGATAATACAAATCATAAAGTGTTAAAAGCTATTATGTCTTCTGTCCAGTGCTCAAGTATTTGAAGGTCATCCATTCATCGTGGAAGCTGGAGTTAGCGTTGGTGGGAAAGATGTTAAACAAGTAAGAATCTCCCTTATGGTAAAGTATATAAAACATGGAGAACGTAATATGCTTAGTCCTGAAATTGATTGTGTCTATTCAATATGTTGTATCTCCAATGTTAGAAGCAAAGGACCCATGAGAATGCATCTTTATCTGCATTTGATAAGTAGTTAAAGATGGTTTGATTTAGGATATGTTTATCTGTTCGGTTGGGTCAATATTTGTAGAAATCAGTTGCACGAATCGGCCATTGGTTTGTAGATATGCTCTCCTGTGAACCGAACTGATAAGATATCGATTGCTTCGGTTTTCCGAGCAGTTTTGGTCGGACATATGAATCTCTGCTGCAAATATTCCCCATGGTCTTTGCCTTACTCCTCTGTAGCGCTTCTTCTCCAAGGTATCTTTTGCTTTCTGAACAAAGTACTCTGTTGCTTACTCCATTTTCCTGACAGGAGGTATTGCAAAAGTCAAGGTAGGTTTCTTCAATTGAAGCTTTCGTGCTTCAGGAAAATTGAGCTTGTTAGAGGTCCAATCTGGCATTTTGCTTTGATTTCAATGAAATCAAATTCAGCTTGAATTCTTGAAGTAGCTAGAGAAGTCATGGGTCAAACTTTGAGTCGTTTTTGTGTAAATGAAAGTGGGATCAAAAGAGAAAGTATGTTTTGATATTAGAAGCAAAAGATTCCAAAGAATTGGATGCAAATCTTTAGTTGGGGTGTTGCCAACAAGCCAGAGAGACAGCAACTGGAGAGACGAGAGAATAGAGAAATGTGCGCTGAGGTGAAATGGTGAATGGCTCAATCCTGAATCCCTAACCCTCATCTGTATAATGGTCTGGTTCGATTAAAAAATTGGGATACTTGACCACCTAATTATTATCAATAAGTATATAAATTAGCTCAGTATCCTGAAACATTTTCCCGAATACCTAGACTTTTTAACCGATATGACTTTTTCAGTTTGGTATTTCGGGTACAACTGAGAACAGCCCTAAATTGATTCTTTGAAAGAACCTGATCAAATGATTGTGGAAGCACTATATGATAGCCAAATTCTTTTTCTTTGTTATGAGCTTGACATTACTATATGGTGAGGCTTTGGAGGGAATCACCTAGTATTAATGATATATTTCCTAGGAGCTATAACAAGTAATTTTTAGGCACATCGTCTGCTCTTCCCATATCTGTGTAATAAATAGATGAACTTCTGTTTGTTGGATGATTAGTGTTTCTTTTCTTTTTCTAATAACTGATCAGTGGAAAAGAAAGAGGAAAAGAGAAGCAACTGTCACTGTTAGAAATTTCTAATCCATAAAACTTTTCTTGCTTCTCTTAGCTTATTGCCTGATGACGCAGTTGATCTTAGTCCAATTATTACAACTTTTTTGTCTTCTAAACTTATTGATCTCATATTGTTGCACTGACTATGCTTGACTAAATTTTAGGGGCTGAATGTTTTCCGATTTGCTAATCGGATTCCACTTCTTTTTGAGCAAGGTGCTGATGTTGTTACCAGGACTGCTATGAAGAGAATCAAGTAAGGCATTTAAAGCCCCTATGAGGTTGCTCACACTTCTCATTCATAAAGTAACTAAGAAACTCTGCTAGTCCCTGGTGTGTGTGTGTGTGCGGGGGGGGGGATAGTTTTTCCTTTGAGGCTCCTCTTATGTCTCATACTCTTTTTGCTTTCCTCTTTTTTTGTTGGGTTTTCCCTTTTTGGGCGAGGGTGGGAATATTGCTGCAAATTGAACTGCAGACAGTAATAAGATGTCACTTTTAGTTGGAACAGTTACAAGATCAACCAAACACAAGACAAGATTGGTGTCTTTGTGAGCATTGTTAGCACCAAAATCCCCTTTAAAGGGACTGGCAAGGAGTATATTGGAGATGACATAAGTGAGATAGCTTCTGCTGTCAAGGTAATTTCTATTGTCTGCCGTTAACAAATTATTGAGCAATTTTTCAGTACACTAACAGAATCAATGTTCCAGACAGCTATTCAGCAATGCTGCAATCAGCTCAAATCAAAAATTGTAAAAAGAATTCATGCTCGTGAGCAGCAGGAAAGGAAGCGGAATCTGAGCAAGTAAGCGGATCATTTAAGGTTCATATTAGTAATTTATGGTTCATCAGTCAAATTCAATACCATTTTTCTGCTGGATGCAGGTATATTCCTAGTGCTACTGCTGCTATATATGATCTCCTAAAACAGACGACAATTGTGCATGCATCAAAAAAGAGACGCTTCAGGGATGACAATGCTGACCTACTAAAACAAGTTTCAGTTAATTCATTAACAAAAGATACATTCAGAGAAAAGCTTGCTCAGCATGTCGAAAAGGTATGATCCTTGTATAGATTTTATTCTAGGGCAGAGAAGCTTATGTATGACATTATGATCAAGTACTTCTGCCTTCAACTTGACAAGATGTTGTTTTTGCCTCTTGAATTTGACAAAGAAAGTGGTTCAATGAACCTGATTGCGGCTGTAAAATTGGAAATTGAGATGGTTCCCCAGAACCTGCTAATATTGCTATATTTTGTCAAGAAGGATCTGGATGAACAAAATTCTATATGGTTCATTGTTTTGTGTTGCAGGTGGACTACGAAATGGGTTTGGAATATGCAACACAGACCGGAGTGAATGAAGAACCACGGGAAGACATATACATAGAGTCACTGGATGAAGATAAGAAGAACTTCATAGACCTCCAGAGCCCCATATTTGTCTTCAGACTCTATCACTAGTTATTCACTTGCTGGATTGTCATAGGAATGTGTTGTTTCTAATATTATTTTTCATTTTGATTTTGATTTTCATTTTCATCAATTAAATTATAGAAATTCTAGAGGTGTAGAGGTCAACAAGGCAGAAATGTATTATGATAGGAAGAGAAAGTGCAACTTATTGCACCTATGTTTACCTTATTGTTTGAAGTAAAGCTTTGATAGTTCAGATCTTCAGTTTATCAATTATGGTTGAACTTGAAATAGTTCTTTTAATAAAATAGATATGTTTTGAATGGTTCCTTTAAGAATATTAAGTGATTCAGAAAGGAACTATAAATATATTCTTGTGTTGATATAATTAATTTATGGTGACGTTGATGGTGATGGAGAAGGAGTTGCTAGTGTGGCGGAAGAAGAAGAAAGGAAGGGGTAAAAATGTGTTGGGGTTGGTGAGATGTGGGGGTGGAAATTGGGCGGGTTGAGTTAAATTTGGGCGGGTCAAAATGGGTCAAGACAATAAACAAGTCAAGACTCAATCCAATCCAAATTTATTTGGACCAAAATGGTTAGGTCAAAACGGGTCATAATTCAATCGGCCCAATTTTTAGTAACTTTTAATAGCTTTATTTGTTATTTTATAAGATTTTAGTACCTAATAAATTTATTTTTTTCTTCTTTATAATAGCTATATATAACATATAAATTAAAAAAAAGTTTTTAAAAATATTTGACAATTTCTCAAAAATCAATTTGGGTTACATATCAACTCAATTTTTAATGGATTGAAATGGGTTGTGTTGAAATAGATTGAACTAACAAATGGGTAGTCTAATAACAAATGAGTTGGGCCGGATTGGACGGGTGGGTTTGAATTTGCCACCCCTAGTGAGATGGCATGTCACGTGAATTTGCCACCCCTAGTGAAAATGGTCAAAAATGTCCTTAAATTATGTGAAAGGAACAAAAATGTCCTTTGTTTATAGTTTGGCTCAAAAATGCCCTTATCGTCAATATTTTGGCTCAAAAATGCCCTTGCAGTTAATACTTTGGTCCAGAAATGCCCCTATAGTTAAAAAATGGGTCAAAAATGCCCTTTTCCGAATAAATATATATATTTTTTTAAAACACCTTTTCTTCCTAATTAAAATATTATTAAAGAACACTATTCTTGTTTTCTTTCTTCTAAAATCACTACAACAAATAAAAATGTAGGGAATTTTTTTTTCTTCTTAATCTCATTTTATCAATTAAAATAGAATAACTTCATGTACCCTTTCGACAGATAATATATGTCATATATATAAGATCATAGTATATCCATCATTAATTTATATTTATATAACGATAAAAAGTAATGATAATAAAAGAAGAAATATTTTCATCCTTTATTTTTTTCTGAATTAAGTAAGATAAACATTTGCTAATTTTTTTTAAAAAAAACAATAATTGAAAAAGAATATGTCAAAAAGAAAATAATAATATATTTATTTGGAAATGAGCATTTTTGACCCATTAAATAACAATAAGCGCATTTTTGGATCAAAATATTGACGGCAATGACATTTTTGGACCAAACTACAAATGAAGTGCATTTTTGTTCCTTTCGCATAGTTTAAGGCCATTTTTGAACCAAAGTATTGACAATAAAGACATTTTTGAGCAAAACTATAAACTAGGGACATTTTTATTCCTTTCACATTGTTTAAGGGCATTTGAACCCTTTTCCCTTTATTATATACCAAAAGACAAATAAAGAGCTTTGGACCAAAAGTGACCAAATCCCAAATTAAAAAAAAAAAAAAAGAAGAAGAAGAAGAAGAAACAAATGAAACATAGATATCATCGTTATCCAAATGAAACAAATGTTGAAGGTATTTTTGTAAAGATAATAAGGAAAAAAGTCTTTATGTATTTCTTAATTTTGCGATTAAGAGTTGATATATTCATCATTTGATTAAAAAGGACTCATAGATACCATCGTTATCCAACAAATGACATATATTTGTTGTTGTTGTTAACATACCAATATTTATTAAATCTAAAAAGATACTTTTTTTAAAAAAAGTTTTAACATTTTCACATGTTTTAGATCATAAATTAAAGGGAAAAGGCTCAAATATGCCATTGAACTTTCAGAAAAGGCTCATTTATGTCATCTGTTAAAAGTTTGGTTCATCTATGCCATTACCGTTTAAGAAAAGGCTCATTCATGCCATTATTTTTTAACAGTGATTTTACAAAACCATTTTTTACACGTGGCCAATTATAATTCGGCCACGTCATTAATTTTTTAATAAAAAAAATCAAAATTCTGAACAAAAATTTAATTATAATTCGGCCACGTCATTTTTTTTTAAATTCAATTTTTGCAAAACCATTTTTTACACGTGGCCAATTATAATTCGGCCACATCATTAATTTTTTTATAAAAAAAAATCAAAATTCTGAACAAAAATTGAATTAAAAAAAATAATGACGTGCCCGAATTATAATTCAATTTTTATTCAGAATTTTGACCAAACTTTTAACGGATAGCATAAATGAGCCTTTTCTGAAAGTTTGATGACATATTTGAGCCTTTTCCCTAAATTAAATAATATTTTGATATGTCATACATATTTTTAGTTTAAGATCATAAAATTCAAAAATCTTCATTATTTTTTAAAAATTTGAGTTAAGTCAAAGTTCAACAAATATTGAAATGGATGGAGTCCTATTTAAAGAAAAAAAAAACCTAATCAAAAAGAAAGAAATAACTTTCATCTCAAAAATAATTTCAAAATAATAGCAATTCTACATCTTAAAAAATTTTAAAAATAAATTTTAAATCAATTTTTTTTAAAAAAAAGTTCTAAGCCGCCAATTCATTTTTATCTAATATACTTGAGCGCCCCTCGCTCAAAACAGGGCATCTTGTGTCTAGTGATCATGTAGTGAATTCTCAGGGGAAGAGTCAACCTTGGGTATTGAAAAAGGTACTATCATTTTCTACGAATCGGATATTACAAAAGTCAAACATTATTGGTAGATCACTTCGATTTTATTTTTGGGCATTCGAATTTGGGAAAGTTATTTAAATACTCTGCATAATTTATTTTGTTACTCTATATTTTTTAAAATTTCTTTATCATATGAAAAAATTATAAAAATCTTTACTCTATCTTATTCTTAAATATATCATTTTACGTAATATATTGGGACGTTGAGTGATGTATCTCAAATCGAGACGCATGTATCAAGACATTGTGAGATGTATCCAAAATCAGAACGCGATGTATCGATACGTTTTGAGATGTATCCATATTCCATCAAATTTAAGAAATTTTGTAAATTGGAAAATAGTAGAGATATGATGAAATTAGCCCTTAATACTATGCGACTTGTGTAAAATTTCCTTCTAATTTAGTCATCGGGGTTTGGGTCGGATTTTGCAATATCTCAAGGGAATAAAAGAGAGGTTGAATTTTTCTTTTCCAGTTGGCTCGAGTTTGGAAGGGTAAAAAATAATGGATGAAATTATTTTAAAGCAACGTGGTAATTTTCCAATAAAAAATTAAGAAAATTAAATTTTAATTTAGTAAATATTAATGAAAACGATAAATATAGACTATTTGTTGGATTCAAAGATATATCACTTCTAAATCGTAAAGTTAAAAAATATATAAGATCTTTTTTTCAAGATGATATAACAAAAAAGTAAATTTAATATTTTCCATTTAAAAAAAAATATAAATGGTAAATGCTCTCGGAACTAAATAATCAAGTATAATCCATAAGAATTGTGATGGAATAATACGCATTCTTTCATCTTTAACCCAAAACTTAATTCGAATCTCCCTAAATACAAAATCGATTTTCACTTTTCTTACCGAGCACGCTCTACGAAATCAAGTATAGCTTGGAAATGACGTTCCGGAACTTTCCCAATTAAAGTTGCAAAAAGTGATTTTGCCTCTTTTTATATTTTTTATTTTTATTTGTCCCTTCAAAGGTACATGCTATTCATTTTTTCTTGTTTATTGTTTAAAAATTAATTTTTTATTTGTTATTCTTAAGACATTTAAAAACTATATTTTATATTATTTTTAATATAATTATTTAATATTAATTAATAAAGATAATATAATATAATAAAATAATAATATGAATTCATTATTTGTTTGTGCCAAGTAAGTATATATAAATGTAACAAGTAAAGAGTAATTGGGATTTTGGGATTTTCAACCATTTTTTTGCTTCTCTCTCTTCTTTATACAATTCACAGATACATTTCTGCATTTATATTTTGTTCATCCATTTCTAAACCCCTTTTGCCTTTTTCTGGTCGGCTCCTTTTTCCCTTTAGCTAAAGAAAAATATAGTTAGAAAATCTGCTAAACTTTTTGGGTTTAATCTGTTGGAAACTCTTGTTTTGCGCATGGCTGTGATGGATGAGATTGGAATTGATATCAGGTTAGACTTGATTTTTTAAAGCCCCGAAGATTTTTTAAAATTTTTTTTTCCGAGTAAATTAATGTAAAATTTGGATGGATATGAGCAAATCTACCATCATTTGGCAGAAATTGTAAGTTTGATGATTTTTTTGGCTCTGTATTTAATTTGGGTTTTATGGGTTTATTTTTTCCTGATCATTTTCTGTTTTGATGTAATTGGTTTATGGTATCTTTGAGATGTTGGGTGTGTGAATTGACAGTCTTTTTGGTTGAATTATATGAATTGATGGAATTTCTGATGTGGGTTAATACTTGAGAATTCTAGAAATGATGTTGGATATTGAGAAACGAGTATTTGGTTATTGGAGTGTGATTATTTGGATTTTGTTAGTTGTTGAATTTTGTGATACTTTGAGGATTGCTGTTTTAATGAATTAAGGGGGTCAGGGATTAGTGTATTTTCATTAGGTGTGTATATTTTTGTTTTCATTTGGTTTTGGATGGAGTACTGTATGATTGATGCTGATGGATTGGGAAACAGCTCGGACATTGAAGTCGATGACATAAGGTGTGACAATATAGCAGAAAAGGATGTCAGTGATGAAGAGATTGATCCTGAGGAATTGGAGAGGCGAATGTGGAAGGATCGTGTCAAGCTCAAGAGGCTTAAGGAAAGGCAGAAAATTGCTGCACAACAAGCTGCAGAGAAGCACAAGAACAAGCAAACCACTGATCAAGCTCGGCGGAAAAAGATGTCAAGAGCTCAGGATGGGATTTTGAAGTACATGTTGAAACTCATGGAGGTCTGCAAGGCTCGAGGATTTGTTTATGGCATTATACCTGAGAAGGGTAAACCAGTGAGTGGTTCATCTGATAACATAAGAGCTTGGTGGAAGGAGAAGGTGAAATTTGATAAGAATGGTCCTGCTGCAATAGCCAAGTATGAAGCAGAATGTCATGCAAAAGGAGAGGGAATCGGCAACCAAAATGGGAACCCACAAAGTGTTCTGCAGGACTTGCAAGATGCAACCTTGGGGTCCCTTTTGTCTTCTTTAATGCAACATTGTGATCCACCTCAGCGGAAGTACCCATTGGAGAAAGGTGTCTCACCACCCTGGTGGCCATCAGGGAATGACGAATGGTGGGTGAAAATGGGTCTGCCTAAGGGTCAGAAACCACCGTATAAGAAGCCACATGATTTAAAGAAAATGTTTAAAGTTGGTGTTCTTACTGCTGTTATAAAGCATATGTCACCTGATATTGCAAAGATCAGGAGATTAGTGCGGCAGTCAAAGTGTTTACAGGATAAGATGACTGCAAAGGAGAGCTCAATATGGTTAGCTGTTTTAAGCAGAGAGGAATCCACTATCCGGCTACAAACTAGTGACAATGGGTCATCTAGCATAAGTGAGGCACCTATTAGAGGTCATGGTGACAAAAAGAAACCTTCTGTTGATAGTGACAGTGATTATGATGTTGATGATGTTAATGTCTCTGTTTCATCTAGAGATGAGAGGAGAAATGAACCATTGGATGCTCGTCCTCTGAATGATGTTCCTCAATCTCACCAAAGTAAGGAGCAGGGAGATGGAAAACGTCGAAGAAGAAAACGTGCTAGGTCAAACTTTCAACAGACTCAACTGTCTCCCAGTGAGCAGCAACCTGATGACGTGGCTAGAAACACCTTACCTGATATGAACAATTCCAATGTTCAGTTTTCTGGGTACATTGCAAATGAAAGCCAACCAGAGAACAATATGATGGTACCGAGGAAGTCTGTGGAGAGAAACTCTGAGGGTCAATCTGACTTACCATTGAAAGACTCCAACCTTTCCATGGTTCCATCAGCTAATGCAGTCTCTACAGAGGAAGCATTCGTTGGCAATGGGCCATCAATTTATCCAATGTTGGAAAATTCTGAGGTTGTCCCATATGAATCAAGGTTTCATCTTGGAACTCAAGATACCGTTGTGCAGCACCAGCTTCATGATACCCAATTGCAGAGCAGACCTCAGTTTTCTGGGATGAATAATGAACCTCCAAATTCCATATTTCATTATGGACCTCCAAACAATGGGTTGCATAATGGATCTCGAAGTTCTGTCCTACATCATGAACTACAGGATTCGGGTTTCACTCATGGATCTCAATATTCGAACTTGCATAAACCCCCCATATATCAATATTACACACCATCAGCTGAATTTGGATCAGCTCATGAAGAGCAGCAGTCTCGCTTGGCATTCGGTCAGCCTCAGATTAAGCCACAGGATTCTGGAGTTAGATCAGCAGTGCTTCATGGAGATAGAAATGGTATTTCCAGAGAGGACCACCATTATGGGAAAGACACATTTCAGAATGATCACGACAGACCAGCTGAGATGCATTTTGTATCTCCGATCACTAGTGGCTCTCCAGATTATGCTAGACTCAGCAGTCCGTTTAACTTTGAGCTTGATGTCCCAAGTCCATTAGATACTGGTGATTTGGAACTATTCCTTGATGAAGATGTGATGACATTCTTTGCCTCGTAGGCAGCTATGTGGAAAATACAACTTTTAGAATGTGAGTTGCAGAGAAGCGACCTTATTCACTCCCTTTTTCATTGTTATTTAATAGTGATTTAATTGTATATCTTAACTTTTTTATGCAGGTACCTGAAAGCTGCGCCAACATATTGTGAACTAGAGTGAGTCCTCTCTCATAAAATGAGATCCTGGACCATAAGTTATGGTACTCGCTGTCAAAATGTAAATTTAGTGGCAGAAAATCTTTTTGTTTTCTTTTCTTAGCATGTCTTTTACATATTTCAGCCTTGTGCTTCACATAAGTGAGATAGTTTTTGATTGACAAAGGCAGGAAAGCTAGAGTTCCTCATCATTTTCTTTAATCATAACTAACTTCTCGTCATACTAAATGATATTTTTCCAAGTGCTAAATTATAATGGGTTTTTGTATTTGTTCTATTCTTGAGGAAAGGCATTAGTACATGTTCCAGTAGCTCATCTCGATATTCTCTTTCTCTATAATGTGGAAACCTCATCAGTAGCCTTATTAACATGCCAACTAGGCTTCACAGATTTGTTAAATGATTTGTATAGCACTACCCAGTTTGATGTTTGTCTTGCCCAGTGCTGTCAAAGGTGTGCTTGAGCCCTGAAGCAGGGTGCAAAACATGTTGGGTGCTTTGCTTGCTTAGCGGGCTCTTCAATGTCGTCATCAAGGCTTTATCACGTATTTTCCTTGCCCATGAGCATAATCCTGAAAGGTGACACTAAACAATTGGTATTTCACTTGATCATAATTTTTCAATTTCTTTGTCTATATATTTGTTTGTCGTGCTTATAATTAGTAGTCTTGGACTACTCATACATATTTGTATTTTTTGTCTATTTGCACCTTTCTTCATTAAGGATTTAGTGAACCTTTAGAGTTTTTTTGTGCTCGTCACCTTTCATAACACTGGTCTCACCTCTATTGAGGGTGATACGGAACTTCATCATAAATCTTTTAGTGGCAGCTTGCACCAAATTTGTGCTGTTTGTTGTGGAAAATGGTAAGGTAAGAGTGGAATTAAAGAGGAGGGGAAACAACAGTATATGTTTTCTATTAGTAATAAAAGAGTGCAATTAAAAATGGGAACCCTTACATGTGATCTGAGTCTCAACACCAACTTTTCAACCCTTGCAATTGAATGTGATGGTGCAAAGTAGGAGGTAAATCTGTAATGAGATGAAACTAAACTAATTTCCGAGGGGAAAAATATATCAGCACTACTTCCCCTCCCCCTCCCAACTTTCTACCCATGAACAAACCATTATCTAGAACATGAGTATGTGAAGGTTCTCTTGTAATGCCAAAGAGATTGACTTGTTATGGCGTATTTTAAGTTAAAAGTTTTGATGTTTATCCTGTCACGAAGTCATAACTTGACCATATGTCATTTCGAATAGCACATATAAGTTTCTTCAGCGAGGATCTTTCATTTGCATTCAGTTGCAATGGGGAAGGTGATTAGGGAATAAGCTCCTCCTAGAAGGGAGGTTATTTAGTTATAATAGCTAGGCATCATTGTGGCATAATCTTATTTATATTAACAGTTGAACATACGAATATCCATTCTCAAAAATAAAATTAGAAAGAGACGGTTGAACGTATGAATAATTTCATTTGATGTTCCCTCTAAGAAAAATGCTTTATTGTTGTTTCTACCTGTTGTGCTTTTGTTTTCATTCGTGAGAGTGAAAAGTCAAAATGAGAATATGACAAGAACAGGAAGTCAGCAAGCGCGGGGAAATCCCATAGTCCTAGATACGATTTTGAAAAAAGTTACAAACTACAAAAGGTTTTCCTTATTTCTTTTATCCTTGTATGTCAAATACAAATGTCTCTGCTGAGAATGACTAATTATGTAATCCAGTAGGGAGGTCTTTGATTATGTTTATGATGGACCCTGAGCTAGAACGTAGAGGCTGCCTTTATATTGATATATTCTAATGAGTACACATTGCAAATTGCAAGAAAAGCTTGATGGAAATGTGTTTTGTACGAAGGAAGTGTTGTCTATGGAAAATGTTTTCTTGAAAACAAGTGAATTATTTTTTATACTTATTTTCTAATTTTTGGTAAGTAAAAAACTATAATCCCAAGCACGTTTGTATGTAATCTAGGGAAACTCGATGTCAGTGGGGAGTGGGGGTTCGGGGATGGTGGGGTGGGATAATTGAAGGGGTTGGGGTTGGGGGTGTAGGTGGGTGGGGAGAAGACAATGAACTTATAGAATCTCACTTATGAAACTTGTTTCCCGTACTTCTGTTAAGGAAGCCATTTTCCTCATTTACAAAGAACTTGCTTTCCTAGATAATATTTTTAGAAATATTTTGACCAACCCAAAATGTGAAAATTGGAAAACATTTTCTGGAAATGTTTTCCTCCATGCCAAGCACCTCCTAACAGGACAGAGTGATAAAAAAAGAAGAGAAATTGTATTAAAAAGATTCTCTTTGTTGTATATTTTGGCCAACACATGCATTCCTTTGTCGATATATAACGAAGAAGTTCTGAAGTGTATCGTTTTTTAAGATAGTATATACCCAATTTATGTTGTCTTCTAAACAAGAATATCTTGTGAAATATAATGATATCATTCGACCCGCATGTAGCACTTGTAGATGACAAATTGAGAGAGAGTTGCTTGTGATGATTTACATTCCCAAGCAATGATCCAAATGCACTGGTCTGTTGGTATTGAACTATAATGATTGAAGGTGTTAAAGGAGGATGGGGTTGAATTTAATCACATGCAAGGAAGTTATCCTAAAAACCATACTCCCTCTGTCCATTTTATGTGATGGTGTTTAATTGTTTGAAACTTGTGGTTAAAAAACCATGGAGATTTGTGTGGCTATAAATCTTATTAAGAGTAAAATGGAAGTTTAAACTTAAATTATTGTTTAAATATAGAAAAGTGTCATTTGTTGTGGGACAAATTAAAAAGAAATAGTGTCACATAAAATGGGATATGGGAATACAATATTCAGAATCCATACAAACTTAAGGACAATATAACCCAACGAAGCAAAAAATCGTTATGGTGATGCCATTTTGTTGGGGTTGAGACTTATAGCCTATTTGGCCAAGCTTCCATTTGCTTATTTTTAAAAAGTGCTTTTGGTCAGAAGTGCTTTTCGGTAAGTACTTTGGAGAGTCGCATCTATGTTTGGCTAATGAATTTTAAAAGCACCTTTGCCAATATTATTGCAGTAATTTTGCTTGACTGAAGTTTAAAAGTGCTGCCGGGAAAAGTTATTTTTTTTTTTTAGTTTTTGGAAAACCAACTTTTGCTACTACTCAAACCACTTATTTTTTCTCTAAAAGCCAGGCCAAACACCTCAATTTTCTAAAATAAACACTTTTGGCTTCGCAGAAGCTTGGCCAAACAGGCTATTTAGTCCATTGCTTGAGACTCAGTCAAGCAATACAAGTTGAGTATAAGTTGTTTTGAAAAAAATATGTTTCAACCAGTGTTAGGCACAAGATCAATGTCAAGCCAGCAATAATGCGTTTCTATGTGCAAAGAGATTGAACCTGAGGCAGAAAAGGATCAAGGAGCGTTGAGCTCTTTTGAGGCCTTAAGGGCAAAGTGGAGGACATTATTGAAGACGTGTGCAAATGAAGAAAAAAATGGAACACTAGAAATTTACCTTTTAGGATAATAACTATGAACATAAAAAATAACTATATGGACAAATGAATAGGAAAAAGTTAAAATTAAGAAAAGTTAACTGTTGTTTAGAGTGCTGCCCTCTTCTCGGCAGAGCCAACTGGAGATAAGATGCATGCCTTAATGATTTGGCACTTGAATTGAAGCATTGCTGGAGCGAGGGAAGCGCTTGGTCTGGCTGGAACTTCTGTCTTGAGATGGACAACAGGATGATCCAATCTTTTGAGCTTTTATCTTGGAACTATTTACGTTACAGGTTGTCTAAAGAAAATTCAACGAAGGCTAAAGTTCATATATATATTTGCAGGAAGTGTGAGGAAGTTAAAGAGTGGCACTTGAGCCTTCTTTATTCTATTTTTATTTCTTTCCACTTTATTTATTCTCTGTGCTCTTTCTTTACCGCCTTGTGTTTCTTTGATTTGTTCAATAATATAGAGAAAAGAGTAAACTGTACCTTGTGGGCAAGATTCAGCTAGTTAAAATTTTGGCTTGGATTAAGCTTTACTAACCAAAGATCCTGACTGCATAATCTCTTAGACCCTTGTAACTATTTGTAGAAAGTAGGCTATCACTCTAAGATCATTACCACGAGGTTGTTTTCAAGAACGATTATTTGTTTTCTGATCTTTGTATATGAGATATCAGGAATTCTACACTGGTTCTTGTTTGATGGGTCAGAAAACTATTGTGCGGGAGTATTGTTAGTTAACAGATAAGAAGAGACGAGAAATTGGGAAGGTTCTGTGCTTGTGCTGTGTGCTTACTGGAATCATGGAACTTATTTGTTAAAACTTTAAGAGAACCACTGTGTTTTAACTCTGAGATACAATACCTGAACGTCTTGCTTGTTTACATTGGTCTTCTCCTCGATTGCAGGATGCACCCAATGAAGAAAATAAAAAGAGAAATCTTAGAAAAATAAAGTAAGTTCATCAGAAACCAAACCGGTGAATATGAAATCTTTCCATTTGTTGTCAGTGCTCTAGTCTAATTGCTTCTGCAAGTTATAAGACATGGTCAAGATTCCTAGCAACAGTTTGCAGGAACCTTTTTTGTGGGTAACAAAAACAAAAAGATGGGAGGTAGGAGGATCATTTCTGGTTACTGCTTGGGGATTTATAAATTATGGGGGAAGTTCCTAAGTTTGGAGGTATTTTACTCGTGCCCTCATGCAGCTCAAGTAGCAGGTTAAAATTGAGGGAGAAGCAGAGGGATATATATCAGTTAGAATATAATGGCCTTTAGAGATTGTTACCTTCCTTTAACTCCTTATTGAGAATATATCCGAGGCAAAGCATCTGCTCATTCTTTGTCAGGGTGGATGAAATTGAATCACTTAATTTAACATCCTTTTAGTTGAGTGCCGAGAGTGTTTATGTACTTGAGTTGTCTGCTTTGGATTTGTCGTGCTTTATGCAGTTTGGTATTTCTTTGACTTGTATCTAAGAAGATTTGTCATTATTAATGTGCCATTTAGATGAATGTGGACATAGTCGGTCAATGTGTCAATTTCTAGCAAGATAACTTCAGTGAGACATGGGACCTGTTTTCATGTTGCTCGGACTCTCTGCACCCGTGTCAG